AAAAAAAACCTAAGGACAACAGGTTTGAATACCAAACGACGTTATTCACAACCACTTTGATGTTTTGATAAGCGTCTGCTATCTTTATCGGGGGGCTAATATGCCTGGTTTACTGTGCACTAAAGCTATAGGTGCTACTGGTTGCACTGGTTAATAAAAACGTGTTAGTGAATGAAGAACTTTGCTATTCAATCCTTAACAAGCCTGATAAAATTAATTGCGGATGCAACCAGGCTATTTCCTATAGGCTGTGGTTACGCGGTACTGGTGTGTACATTTTTTTATTGTTCTTGTTGTTTCGTCCAGCGTGTCAAGACATCCCGCCATCCTTGGGGTCGATGTGCAGCCGGGGCATCAGTTACCAGAAGATGACGCTTCCCAACCCATTCAACCCATTTGGCGACACCTCAGTAGAAGCTGTTGAAAGCTCAGAAGATTTCATTGACCTCAGCGCCATCGCAGAACTAGACTGCCACCCCCGTATTAGAGACCTAGTCTGTGCTACTATTCTGCCGCGCTGTGAATCCAGGTACACCATTCCTACTTTCCATACTAAAATCATCATAACTAGTACCTTGATCGCTGCTAACACAAACCTTTGCGTTGGCATTCTGCTGACTTGATGCACATGAGCTTAATATTCCAGACAAGGGAGCCAAGGCCATGATAAAATGCTGTGTTTCCAGTCTCCCGACTGACCGTAGCGAAAACCCGTCGACTATAGCTAGTCCTTATAGAATAAAGACTAAGCTTTAACTTCCAACACTTAGATATAGAATTGGAACTTCTGTATCCAAGTGTTGGAAGTTAAAGCTTAGTCTTTATTTTAAAATGATTTGTACCAACACAGATGAACTTTCATGCTATAGATAGTCCTTTTAATTGATATCATATGTCCAAATCCCCTGAAACTATACATAGAAATAATTGTCTCTTTCCCACAAAGGAATGGGCAGATGTGGAAAAGGTTCCGACACAATTCAGCTCTACCAAAATTGTTTTTTTTGCACTACTTTATTCGATGTAAAAATACTTACAATCTAAAACCTCCATACCTTATTTCTTCGGAAATGAAGTAGGAATAACAGCTTTTTTCTAGGTCAAAATGATTCTATATTTCTAGATATGCGATTAAAGTTGTCATGACGTGTTAATATGTCGTTATAACAAGAAACTTCTAGATTCACTCCACATGTACATTGCATCTACCAAAAGATTTACTTCCAGCTGAGCCACTGTTTCTTTTTAACAGATATGTTTAGCCCTAATGTTTATCGATCTAATTCTAGTTACCCTAGTATTTCTTATATCTAATTTTTTATTGTAAATTGATCGACAATGTACTTATGTATTAATAAATGCGTGTTTGTCTTGTATATTGCGGTAAACTAGACAGAGAAAGCTAGGTCCCGCAATTGTATATGTTTGTCTTAAAATTTAAACTGAAACTGTTTATTCACATTGATTGGCAGCCGATATGCATTGCTTGGCTGAATTGCACAAGTGATTTCATGATGATGTATGTGTGTATTGTGTATATTTGTTACTCTCCAAGCAGAGGTTTGCGTTTTGGGGGTATTTTTAGCGTGTTTTTAGACTTTTTTATCGGGGTTTCTCTTTTGCACTGAATTTTTTTTCCCACCAAACCCAACCTCTGCAGGCAGTCGAAAAATTCAATGGGCTATAAACCTAATCACTTCAACACATTTCAGTCGTTCTTCAAGGAGGTGTGAACCAGACGCATGAATAGGCACAGTCAGCAGGAGGCGTGTGGCCGAATGAATGCCTTTCCGACTGCCTGGAAATGTGATAATCCACCACAATAAAATGGATATCCCTAATGACAGTTTGATGGTTCCCGGGGAGGGGCACTATCGCCTGTTTTGAATAGGTTTGCCCCTCCCCGAGGTGAGTGCCGGCAGAGGTTGGGTTTGGTGGGAAAAAAAATTCAGTGCAAAAGAGAAACCCCGATAAAAAAAGTCTAAAAACACGCTAAAAATACCCCCAAAACGCAAACCTCTGCTTGGAGAGTATATATTTGTATATGATGTCGCAATATCAGCTGCCTAGCGGCAACATTGTATTGCCATGTTGCAATTTCAAATAAATAAATAAATAAAATAAATGAATATGTCGTTATTTATTACCCATTGTCTTTTCTCAAAACTCAGTCCGAACCTCCGGCAACAGCTGCCATGTCGTTCTTGGTGTGAAGAGGTGCAGTTCGCGTGTGAACTGGAGGCTATCGATGTCTGGTCAGCTTTTCCAAGCTGTGAAATGTTCCCCCACACCAACTGCAACAACATCAACGGTTCGATGGAGGATGGAGGTAAGTCTACTCTATCACGTTTTTACTATACGTTTGTACACCTGTCATCCCCATTCACATAGATCCCATTATTGATTCAAGTATACAGAATTGTATTTATAATAGATAGCATGTAATAGACTGTTAAGCAGCTCATCTTATAATATGTTATTGTAATGTTTTGTCTTGAACTGACTTGTCTTGTCATGTCAGTAGGGTTAGCTTTGTAATAGCCACATGCTAGTCCGGCTGTCCTGGTCGTATGGTTATTTATTAGCCCAGCGATTGGAAATATTAACATGTGTTTTAGAAACTTTTCCGGTCTGAAGTGGTGTAAGAACTTTTCTGAGAAGCCCTGTTTTCTTTATCATTTCTTTTGTAAGCTTCATGTTTCCGACTTAAACAAAGGGGATGCTCAGCATGATTGAGTTTCTATAAGTGGTCTCTTTGGCTTTGCACTCATTTCACTTCATTTATTGGTGATGCCACAATGCATTACAAGTGGGAGCCAGGCAGCCTAAAGGCTGGTGGCGGCTGCCACTGGTACATACAACACAACACAGCACAGGACAAGTCAATACAATATACAGGACCTAACAACAAGTTACAAATATCCAAATAGCAAAACATAACAGTGCATTATACAATATCGAAGACACTCAACAAATATGTTTTAAAATTCAATATGTTTTCTGCTGTTACAGAGAAATGTTTCGACGGGAATGGTGCCAATTACAGAGGAGACGAGGCCACTGGTGCCGCAACTGGAGTAAAATGTGAGCGGTGGGACAGTGACGAGACCCTTGTGGCGAGCTACCCCTGGGCAAACCTCGTGGATAACAAGTGTCGCAACCCTGGAGACTACGAGAGACCGTGGTGTTTGACTCCCAGTGGATTTGAATACTGTGACATCATTCCTTGCAATGGTAAGTCGTCAAGCTATATTTATGCTAGCCGTGGCGACTCTTGATTCGGGCTTACATTGCATTACCCTCTGCAAGAGTCGTGGAAAGATCCATTGGCAGAACTACACATTTCCCGTTGGCTGCCCGATGCTCCGTTTTTGACCCGGTTTTTTGCTGTCCCAAGCTTCCCTACAATATAACTCCACTTTGGCCGGGTTGCCGATGTTTAGATCAGCCTAGATATTCCACAGCGCGACAGAAAAGTACTAAAATAGCTAGTCGGCACAACCGGGCGGCCATCTTGTACATAGTCGGGAATGTCCGCTACCGCTGTCGGGAACGCTCGGACGGCTATATTTATGCCTGTTAATTCGAATACCCTGTCACACATAGCCAATGTAGGGTCGTGTGGCGTAGCGGCAGAGCGCTCGACTGGGAAGCAAGAGATCCCGGGTTCGAGTCCTGACATGCCAGCGATCTCAGTGTGCCCTGGGAAAGGCACTTTACACGACTTTCCTCCCTTCGCTCAGGAGTATTGTCCTGTTTCGTATTTGTCCTCTAGCAGCGTTAGAATGAAATAAGTTGATACAACTTGAGTGTGCTGTCACCATGTCTATTATGAAATGTTGGAATAAAAAAAACATAGGCAAATATGGCCTCCCTGATACTGCCGAATTCGCCAAAAATATATTAAGTAAGTCGGGACCATAGTTGACAGGGTCAGCTGGTGTACCACCGACTCGGCTAAAAGTGTCAGGCGAATGTTTAGACTTGATTATTTATCACATTTATTTAGCACATAAGGTTTTAAAATGTTTAAACATTTTAGTGTTGACAAAAGGGATAGCCTTGGTTGGTTGGTGATTGGTTGGTGTTCGGAAGTAGAAGGCAGAAAAGAAATTAAATCCAACAATAACTGTTTATGTAGCATTAACAATGCTACTTTATGGCAATTTTACTCTTTCCTATTACTTTTGTCATGTCTTTGAATCAGCCCTTGGGCTTGAATTTGAGGTAACCTTTGTTGAGGTGTTTTTAAATTTTTAAGTGGCGTCGGTGGCGCAACGGCTAGAGCGTTGGGCAAGGAACCGAGAGGTCCCGGGTTCGATACTCACCGTGACCCGACGTTGTGCCCTTGGGAAAGGCACTTTACACGACTTCCCTACCATGTACGGTGGAGTGACGCCCACCGAGCCCCTTAGGCTAATTGTCTAACCGGGTGCCAAAAACACCCTACGGATTATGTGTGCCAATGTGTCAACATCAGCACATTTGCGATCAAGAGCCGTTGATTTTTTTTTTTTAATTTTTATTCTCGTTCCTCCAGTTGTCGGCTGCGAGGATCCAGGAAAGCCCCGGTTTGGCAAGAGGAGTCCCATCATGCAGTTCTACTATCCTGGCGAGCGAGTCACGTACACATGTGACGTAGGGTTCAAGTTCAGGCCATACGCCCCACCCAACAACGTAGTATGTGTTTATAATGAAGAGACGGGAGAGGCCGAATGGAGCTCACCTAAACCAAATTGCGTAGGTAAGAAAAAAAAACAATTCTTAGGAACTACGTTTCCTCTCTGTGTCTGATATTCCCGCATAAGCATACAATTGCATATTTTAGACATCTTACAAGTATTTTGTTTTTTAAATTGATGAATTTATTTGAAACAATAATGACATTTATTAAATCGGAAATATAAGAACATTAGGGCAGATATAAAGGGTCATTTGATTTGCTATAAGCCAGATTTTGTAACTTCAAGTTCATTTTTAGTTGTCAGATGTTATGACCTTGTGTCACGTGGCCTAGCACAATTTTGACCAACTTTGTTCAGACTGAATACAAACAAACACACTGGCACACCGAGTCATCTAAACAATACTTCTTTTACACAATACTTCTGTCCTGGAAGTAACTATACATTATTTAAATATACCACAAATGATCATAAACTAATGTGTTGGTATTTTACCATCTTTTATTGCCTTACAAAACTTTTAAAAAGTTTACGTAATTATTGATTAAGAGTAATCTGGTTAATTAAATGTTTGACTTGTTCCAGTGGATCACAAGTACAAGCTCCAAAAGGACCTCCTCAGCCCGGGTATCTATCGTCGGTCGGTGTCTCCAACAACTAGACTGGAAATAAAGGCATATGTTGTCAACGTCGTCAACTTGGTAAGTGAGAGCAACACACAATTTTTTTGAAAGTCGCGTAAAAGTGTATGTTTCTCCATTCAAAAAAACGTAACTGTATATTATATCTGTACCAGTAACATTTTGACTTTTCAACAATCACATTCTTTTCAAGTTAACTGTAACATTATGTCAACCGCCCAAAATTACATTTTAGCAACAAAACGTTTTTAATTCTATTTGTGTCCTTTACATCTTTTGGGTGGGGAATGTGGATTCATGTCATGTGCATCAATTCGATTGTTTGTGCTGTTCTTTTACATGTATTCTTGGTTAGTGTTTTGCATTGTTTTGTAGTATTAGTTTTATTCATTTAAGTGGCGGCGCTAACATACGTTACCCAACTTGAGCCCGTCGTCACTTTGTCCTGTACCCTTATTTTGTTTGCTGTATGCTGAATAAAAAATAAAAAAAAACAATCACTTGATGTGTTCTGCATCATTGACCGTCCTTGTGTGAATGAGGCATGTGTAAATATGATACAAGTTACCCAGTCTTGTCTTTGCTGAAGTGTGAGAATGTACTTAGTAGAAATTGTCAAGATATCTATTTTTATGAACTTGTACATCCCCTTTTAGGATGAGAAGGCGGAAAAGATAGTAACATCATTTAAAGCGGAATTCGTAAGTTCATTTTCTTACTTCATTACCGGAGGGCATAGCATAAATCAGATATAGTTAATATCCTTTATATTTAACATTACAGCGTTACAAGTTTATTACTTACGATGGAAATCTATTTTAGCTAAATGATAACAAAAAAAATTGTACAATTTAGCTTACACTTTTTACAGTTACAAAAAATATTGTATAGATCCGATTTTAATGATAATGTTGTATACCATCAAGAAGTGTCATTCCTAACTCAAGCTAATGCTGTACAGCCATATAAACAAATACTGTACAGCCATATAAAATTGGATTTCAGGTTAGTCTCTAATGCAATTTTGAAACTCATGAAAAAATACTAAGCCTTAATTTTCAACACTAACTACAAAGAATTGGGGCTTACCCCGAATTTCCGGTTGACTCCATCAACCTTGTTCACGGAATGGACCCATCTACTCTTGGAACGTGACGTCAGAGACCGTAGTAGCGGGCCATACGTAGCCATACGTTGTAGTTAGTATTGGAAATTGAAGCTTAGTCTTTATTTCATAATGACTTGTACCAACACAGATGAACTTTCATGCTAAATTTTGAGCTCAAGCTTATTGTGTCTGTGTATGTTACAGTCATGGAAAGACGACAGACTGGAATGGCAACCCAAACAGTACGGGGATTTAGAAAAGATCTTCGTCTTTGACGAGGAAGTCTGGCTACCGACATTGACACTGCAAAGAAAGTAAATACTTTATTATTATGTGTTCACACTCAACTCAATGTCTGCAACAACAATTGATGTTTCTACTTGATACTAACACAACAATCAATTATAAATGGATAGATAGAGGAAGAGAGTGACGGAAGAGAGGAGATATTTGGCAAATGCAAAACATTACTCATAAACAATACTCATAGAAATTTTATACTTTACTGATCAATAAATTACATAGACAAATTCAGGGCATTTTAATTGGCATCCACTACAATTCTATACTTTGGCATCATGCACTCTAAAGGTGCAGAATATATCTCAGCAAAATAAGTGTTTATATATTACTAGTGTTTATTAATGCCTAACCTTCACTAAAGTTCTACCTCCCCTCTCTCTCTCTTTGTCTCAGATCTATTGTAAAGTAGCTAGCTAGCTATAGGTTGCTAGCTTTAGCTTAAACTTCAAATTCCATATGGTAGTTAGCTGTTGTCCAATAGTGTTTTGAACCTTTAAATTGTATCGAATGCATGCTCTTAACTAGCCTGGGTACCATCCTACTTGTATGCCGGGGCTCCCACACTCGCTTCCCTAACAAGTAGTCTGGAAACGGTTAGATCTGAACCATCTGGAATTGAAGATTCTCGGTCAGATTTTGCCCGAGTGTGCTGATTGGTCCCTTCTGTCTTGTTCATTAGCCTAACGTCCTTCTCAGTATGTGGTGATGCTTATCTCCTGCCTGCTCAGCAGGTATCACTGACCGAGGAAGGGGTTGTTTATCTTGGACGGAGTGGAGTAGCCCCTGACACTGTTGTCATGATTTTGCTAACATTTGAACTTTGAAGTAACACAGCCACAAAGAACATCTTGCAATAAAGAAAACTATAAGAAATGATTGTACTTGAGGTAAATTTGTGGCTGTACTTGTCATACATATGCAGCAACTTTTTTGCCCTTACCAAAACAGCACATGGCCACGTGGACTTTGTACTGATGGGTCATCTACTAGTGGAAGAGGCTCCGCCCAGCCCTCCCCATGTGGCCTACCTCATTATGTGACATCATCACCAAACCAAATAGATCTAACCGTTCCCAGACTACTTGTTAGGGAAGCGATTGTGGGAGCCACGGCATACAAGTAGGATGGTACCCAGGCTAGCTCTTAACCAGATCGTTTTTTCTTCCAGTGCGGACGTAGGATACATCGGTGGATTTCCCAAGACTGAGGTGAAAATGGAGAACACCGGAGATGTGACCTGGCCTGTAGAACTACTGACAACAACAACCTGTACCCTGGACCCTTTCCTCTTCCCTCAGGACAACATGACATGTGCAGTGTGCTGGAGAGCGGGAGAAGAGTACATAATAGGTAAGGCAGCTTTAACACATTTATCATTAATCACACTTGTATGCTAGGTATTTATTCTGCTTAGGTCTTGAAAAAAGTGCATACCATACCAGAATCCATTCCACGTATACGTACTTATCACGCATCATGCATGGTGTACTTCTTAAGCTTCGGTCACAACCCGCCGTACGTGCTTCGGCGTGCTGTCTACATGCAAAAACGTATACAAACGTAGGACATCCGTGCGTGGTGAGTACCACCTCCGTACGGAATACTACGGATTTGGGAGCACGCAGACACGCCGTAGAACTTTAAGTGCATGTAAAACTTTTTCTACGTGCGGTCTGCGGATTCACCACCCGTGCGTACGAGTACGAGCGACGCGCGTGCCCCGTACGTGCCGTACGGAAAAAGCACGTGTGAGTACGGCCTCCTTATGGTAAAGTTGCAATCGCACAGAGATCGTACGTTGTAAGCACGTACAACTCACTTACCACTTGCGCAACGTATGATGCACGCAACCGCTCACGGCCAGACTCGGCGTGCAGACCCCACTCTTACACTTTGTGCAACCGTACAAGTGACGTGCGAGTGACGTGCGTCGATGCCACTCCTTCCCCACGTTCTCAGAAAAAACGCAGCAGACGCAGCCTCCCAAAAAACGTACGGAGAAAAAGCACGTACGGCGGGTTGTGACCGTCGCTTAACTGAACATCCTTTGACATAGGCCACTATCAAGTTTGGGCTTATCACAGAAACTCGAAGATAGATGCTGGCTTTACTTAAAGCGGACGTCATTGATGTGACAAAAAAAACATTTGTTAATGTCGTTGTTGCAGTTTGACAAAGATACTTTTTATTTCTTTCCAGGCCGTTCCAATGCAACATCGCGCAGAGACCTTAACTTCCTGAACTACTTTAACAGCGAGACCGACATTGTCACTGGAGAGTGGAGTGGAAAAACCACCCTTTCAGCTTCATTAAACGAGGCCTGCCTGACGATAACACTCAAACGAGATCCCACCTATCACTACTCCACAACCATCTCTCCCTGTCTCATCCTGATCATCCTCATGGTCATCACCTTCATCATGCCCATTGATAAAGGAGACAGGATTGGATTCGGCGTCACCTTACTGCTGGCCATGGTGGTGTCGCTGGTGGTGGTCACAGGTTTTCTGCCAGTGTCCAGTACCCTACCATTCATAGGTGAGCTGGATTTCTAGATTGTTTGGGGTTACTAGAAGATTCTTTCAACGGTGACAGGTTTAAAGGGTAAAGATACTGACCTCCAAATTTTCGATGACTATCAGTCCATCTTGTTCACGAAGTAACCTAGTCTCGCGAGAGCGCGCGACTAGGCCCGAGACTCGCATCGGTCTGCTAGGCCCTACCCCCTGTTGCCTCCCTCCGGAGTAAGGGTAAGGAACTTCTTGGGAGCTCAAAACCTTCGGTGCGGTTTAACTTGGCAAGATGGAACAACATGAACTGATAGTTATGGACAATTTGGAGGTCAATATCTTTACCGTTCAAACTTGTCACTGTTGAAAAAATCCTCTGGTAACTGTATCTATACGTGGCAAAATAAATCTCTTTAACGATACTTAACAGTTTGGTATTCACTAACATAACAATGTGCCATTCTTGGTGTTCGTAGAATTTCAAAGCGAGTTGTGGCAAAATCAACCAAAAGGGATTTGTAGGGCATCATTTTCCCTGCATGATAGATGAATTAAGTGAGGTTTACATGTAAATACCTCACAAATTTAGGTCATTTTTAACGTTCACGTGAAATTTGAATTATATGAAATTGTCATTTTATTTAGATTACAAAACATGGCGACGGCACAATTTCTTTAACTTATTCTCGAGCCACAACCAAGGACAATGCTCACGTTTACGAATCTAATGAATCAAGTGTGGAGTTTCATGTCAATTGGCGTTCACATGACAGGATTCGAACCTGGGACCTCTTGGTTGTGCGCCAAGCACTCTGCCGTGACGCTACACGATCCCACAAATGGTCACTGCACAGTATCTTTTCAGAACAGCCGATGTATTTTGTCAAAGACGATGACATTTATTGGAAGAAGAGCTTTCAGTGTTCTATTGGATACTACATTCCTTAGTAGTAGCAGTTATATTTCTTCTCTTACAGCTTTGGTGATCATTGTGTGCATGGCTCTGATGGCCCTCTTCATGTTGACGACTTTGTGTATCATCATTATCCACGACAAGAAGGGACCTGTCCCTAAATGGGCACGGGCGGTCTTCCTGAAGCATATGGCAAGGTATGTCAGGCATTCAAAATACTCAAATGCACATGCTAATATTTTGATTAGTCTCCACTAATTCACTTTATGTTCACGGTATCAGAATTGTACGGTCTGAGAAAAGTGAACATATTCACGAAACTATATATTCACGGTGGCGACAGGTGCAGGAATGACAGTGAAAACAGTGAAATTAAAAGTACCATGAAAAAATTAGGAATTACAGTGCCAATTTGTATATAGAGCGTATGTACATATGATTTTTCTGATTGGTCGTTAATGCTCCCTAAGAAGACAACACTCAACAGTAGTCAGAATGCATTGAAAATTTAATTTTTGTGACCCTTTGTCTAATAGAAAAGTTACACATCGTACATGTAATCTTTACATTGTTTTAGGGCCCTTATGATGGGAGACTTGACCAAGAAGCTAAAGAAAGAAGAGGATAAAGATTACAACATGAGCAGCAATGTGAATGGCGTCGAGGTACACGCCAATCAGCCGTACAAGATGGACGACATTGTTGGAGGAGACAACCCACCGTCAACCGTAGATACCGAGGTCGGAGCTACCCTTATTGGGTTAAAAGGAAGCGTAGATGAGCTGAAGGTCAGTGTTAGGCAACTGTCTGGTAGCATTGATGCTGTGGCAAATATTGCTGCAGGTGAAGACGATGAAGAAGTTGGGGAGTATGCTTTGTTGGCTGGTGTGTTAGACAGGCTGAGTTTGGTCATTTATGTCATTGCCATTGTTGTGACCATACCATGCAGTCTTCTTTTTGGTCGCCGACTGGTCTAGATAAAAAAAAAAAACGACGAGACTGCAAATTTACATTTGATGGCAAATTACTACTTTTTGCTTTTTCACAGTTCTCGACTTTTGGCTGCGAAACCATAAACATACATGCATAGATATCCAAAAAATTGTAAAGATGTGGAAAATATTGCACTCTTCTAGAGGCCCCCACGAGTCGACCATTGCTAAAAGATGTTAGTGACAAAAACAGCATCTCATTTCTAACATGTAATGGCAAAATACCTATTGTCATGTTTTACTCAATTTTCATTTAATGACTTTGGAATCGAGCTAAGAGAGTCCAGAATATACACGAATGTCGTAAAAGTTTAGAGGACTCATCGAAAATTCATTTCAATGTCATGTTATGGTATATGTTAGTAAAATGTTATGTCAAGCTAGTGTGTTACCTAGAATAGTACTTTAATAGAAAAAGATACAATAGTAGTAATTAACGGCTAAATAGATGTGGTAGAGAAAAAATATTTGCACTATGATGATAATAATAGGCATCATATAGAGATGCTTAGAATCTAGTATATATTGTGCTATATTAGCATAATAACTAAGTAGAAAACTACACAATGTATTACCTTTACTGTATCTGTAACAGTTGTTGTACATGAACTTTGGCTTGTGGGGACTAAGCAACCCAATTGCTTATGATTTACCATTATTATTTAGTCCATGTACTACCAGTGAAGTTAGTACTCTTTTGATTGTTATATTATGCAATGCAATCCACGAAGTAAAGACGAAAAAATGACCAGTTGAGAGCAGGTTTAAATGATTTGTGTTCAGGTAAAGCCAGACCAGTACCTTCGCAGCTTTTTGGCAGCAGGGTAAAATACACAGTAAAGCTTTCACTTTTAATTCATTTTTCGTAGCATTTTAATAGCATTTTTTTTTTCAATCGTAAAAACTGATGAGTGTAGTTAACATGGGGTAGTGTAAATGTGCATCATGTCATGTATTTGGTGACTGTATTGTCGTTGTATGTGAAGTTTTGTGTTTTTTGGAATTTTGTGCCACATAATGTAATGCAAATGGAAACTAACCTACAGTGGGTGTCACATGAAGAAAATATCCACACTATGCATGGTGCATGGACTAATGAACCTTTGGACGTACCAACTACTAAGTATATATTACCATGTAAAACCGACGAAACAGAGCGGCATTTAAATACTAATATGTGATGTGTTAATGCTAAATAAATCAAGATATATAAAGTTATTTTTGTTGTCATGTTTTTCATTGTGTGGAATGTTCTGATTATCATAGTCTTGGAAAAGAAAGATCTGCGTATATAGTTCCCTTCTTCTAACAGCAAATGACTTTGAAATTCATGTAGACACTACAGAAAGTATGTTTGTACGTTTATTAATAAGTCTAACAGGAAAGCCAACACAGTTTAATTCAATTCGTGAAGGACAATCGCCGATTCTGGACAATATAATAGTAGTGAGATTAATTAGAATAATTATAAGAAAAGGAGCTAAGACGCATATGCAATGGATTTAGTGATTGCCATTAAAGTTATTAGTATTGTTCTAGGAGCGCAATCTCACGTCTCCGTAAACATATTGTAGAAGATACAACACTAAACTTAGACAAAAAGACAGTAGATTTAAAATATTCTGATGTAACCGGGCAATTGTTTATAGTTTTCTTTGTCAGTTAGTAACTTATTCTAAGCCATGAATGCAGCAACACAATATACAGAAAATATCATTTATTCTAATATGTAAAGTGATCTGAGTCAGGCCTTTACATGGATATCTATGAGCCCACAAGCGTTCTATATAATAATTGTCTGAATTTCATCATTGTTTAAGGCCAGTTTAACGCCAAACCAAAACTATTTAGTCTATAATTTCATACACAAACGTGTTTTAAAATTGAGATTTACATATGCTAACTGCACTCACTAGCGGACCAACTGCTCTGGCATGTCATCTTTTTATTTAATAAATTTTTTCTTTAACCAGCCGCCTCAAGAAGCCTGGTAGAGACGAATGCATGTGTTAATGAGATACAACTCTATAAACAAACAAAACAAATGACAGGACAGCAGATCACCCTTTATGCTTTGGTTTATTCAAGAATTATGTATCACCAAGGATTAACATAGTATTAACAAATATCGAACGCATGAAAACGCTGTTGAAAATGCGAAATTCCTATAAGCAGTAGAAACTTTTAACCCTTGTCCTGCTGACATTTTATTTCAATAATTACATGTCTTATATCATAAATATGATCATAGACCCCCATTTTTTTGCCCTGTAGTGGTATAGTTACTTCCACATTCGTTGCGTTTCGCTGCAGTGTGATGCGTTGCACGAGAAATACCCCCAAATCGTACCTATACACGGTGCTATATAGATGGTACTGTATGTGCAGAACAACAATTGTTGTGCTCAGCAGGACACGAGTCTCTAGCAAAGGTATTATCAAATGACAAAACAATAAAAGAGTGGCAACTTAAAAAGTAAATAAGGCACACTTTAAGTTAATAAAGTAAGAGCTGATTGGAATGGATGTGCCTTCTGAATAACTAAACAAAAACAAAAACAAATTCTAAAATATACTTAACTACTTTCTTAAAAAAATTAAATGTTGAATTAAAAACTCTAAATGATATTTTCTTTATATTTGTAACACAGCAACACAAAGAACTACAAAGTAATATGTCCTTAAATAAGACTGTAAATAAATTCAACATCACCCCTATGATTTAATTTTATGTTTATGTAAAATATAGCCATTACGGAATGTAACAAAGCATAATACAACATATAGCAACATGCCGTGAGATTATATGACACGCCATTACTCAATATAACATTATAAAATACTACAGTATATATTAATTACAGTAACTGTTCTTAGGAAAGAGACTATAACATGGAATATAATAACATAGTAACATATATCATAGCATAACAAAACATTACACCACATAAAATAACCTGACATAACAAAACAAAATAAAAGAACACATGAAGTAACATAAACATTCATTGTGCAAAAAATTCATTGTGTACAAAAGACTAAAACACCAGGTCTTGCACCTTAAAAAAAATTAACAATAGATTACTAATGATCATCATTTGTATAATTTTTCTATGCCATATAGTGGGCTGCTTATTTCATACCTATATTATTACATATGTTGCTTTGAGGTTTTAAACAAATGCAAGAAAACTCATTGTTTTTTTTTTTATTTCAGTTATTTTATCTGATTTCTTTCCAGGCATTTTTTCTTTGTGACGGGTCACCAAAAGTAAAAATCCCATTGTAATCATATCAACCCTTTTGTCCTTTAATTATTACATTTGTGTGAATCATGTGCCCATGTAGCTCGTATTTAAAGCCAACAGGGTTTAATAATTATCATTTTATAGCCAGAAGACGTTCACCAACCAGAAGGTTCCATTTCCCATTTGTTTTTAGGCAGTAATTTCGAAAGCGGTCGGTTATTAGAGCAGTAGTGTTCAGACTTTTAGTATTTATCAATTTATTGAAAACGAATTGTAGTTTCTTTGGATAACGTATTTGAATACAAACCAATTAAAATGATATAAGTAGAATCAAAACAAAACTAAACATAATTTTTGACATCCCCCCCTAAAAGTGTTACTGCTCCAATATCGGGTGATCACCGAGAATGATTTATCTGGATGATCTATTTTTCTGTCGACGCCATCTTGTTTCACATAACAAAGAATGTGAATGTTCTTTCATTAATAGAGGAATTTATAAATCAATTTGTTAAAAAAAAAAAAACTTAGACCCACCCTGAGGTATATATGGTGATAACCCTGGTCAGGTGCGATAACGCTCACTTGGTGGTTTATTCGGTGGATATCGCACCTGACCAGGGATTATCTCACCATATATACCTCGGGGCGGGTCATAAAGCCATTTTACATGGTTTGAAAAAAAACCTTTCCTTTCGTAATTAAACACCAGGTCGTAATTTTGTCGTTTTCTTAGCCCACAGTGATCTTCGGGCGACCAATAAGCAGGGTGCATGGTATGGCCACAATAATGGCGATGATGTAAAGGACCAAACTCAGCCTGTCCAGAACTTTAGCCAGCAGAGCATACTCTGCAACTTCTTCATCATCATCACCACTTGCCAGACCATCGATGCTCCCAGACAGTTCCTTAACACTGACCTTAAGCTCATCTACGCTTTCTTTTAACCCGATAAGGGTAGCTCCGACCTCATTCTTCACGTTGAGAGGAGGGCCAGAAGAGCCGTCACCGTCCCTCTTGAATGCGTGGTTGACTGATCCTTCAACGTCGTTTACTTTGTTGCTGACGGTGTAGGCTGATGCCTCTTCATTTTTCAGCTTCTTGGTCAAGTCTCCCATCAGTAGGGCTCTAAAGGAAAGTGAAATGTTCTTAATTTTAGGAGGTAAATTTAAATTTATCGGGTCATTATTCATTCCAATGTATAAATTAAACAATCAGATAAACACCGGATATGACCTCAGGTGACCCAAAAAGAACACCGCTATGTTCTAAAAAAATTATAAAAAATAACTTGATGTGTGTTTCAATGACCTCGGGTGACTCCCATAAGAACACCTGTTCCCTGCCTTTGACCCAAATAGAACAGTAAGAACACGACCCTTCTCCAGTGACCTCTGGTGACCGCAGATGGAAGTATGTTCTAGTTAAGTTTGTATGTGTTATACAGGAATGTGTCTTTCTTTACTGTGTAAGTTCTGATGGCTATATGATTATAGCGTTAATGGCCCGACCTTTCTCCGTGAATACGGTGTGATAAAGCCTTGTCAGTTGCTATAACCACCTGATAAAGCCACCTCGTTCGCTGCACTTACTCAGTGGCTTTATTCGGTAGTTATAGCAACTGCCAAGGCTTTATCACACCATATTCACCTCGGGGCGGGTCATTAACCCTTAATTTTTATCTATGACATACCTTGCCACGTGCTTCAGGAAGACCGTCCGCACCCATTTTGGAACGGGTCCCTTCTTGTCGTGTATGATGATGATGAAAAGAGTCGTCAGCATGAAGAGGGCCATCAGAGCCATGCACACGATGATCAGCATAGCTGTAAAATAAAAAAGAGTAATCTCTATTGTTTATCATGACCCTTATAAGTTACATAAATATATATGTATACCATATTATATACCATAAACTTGAGATGAGCAACATGATAGCCACTATAAGGTAGCTATTATGTCAATGAATAATATAACTGATATTGGCAATGTGCATATCTACATACACTTGGTTCTTATTGAAAATATTCTACGTAACTAGAATGATCGACATTTGCTTTCGAGCAAATGCAGCATGGCTTGATCACATTTTACGACAGGGCAGGGAACGAAGGAGGAATAAAGAGAAAACAATGCTTTACATTCATATGACTATAGTTGCAAACTATTGACTTTCAAGATAAAAAAACGCATTCCGATGCTTGAGCAGGAAAGTTTGACATACCTACCCCAAAACACATGGGGAAGGCATGTAGTACAAACGTTCAATAAAGTACAGGCTGGTGCAGCTGTCAATGCAGTTAACCTAATTAAACCCCAACAGCCAATCAGAAAGAAGAATAGAGGATCTAGGAAAGCTTCATGCCTATTGGCTCTTGCTGTACCCGTCATTCTAATGGCTTACTAAAAGTATCTTCCCAATTTCCTTCGGTGGATATGACTTTGTGTTAATTCGACACTTATGGGAACCACCCATAAATTATGGTGCCATATACACACCAGGACTGGTCATTAACGCTATATTAACTATCTGAAGAGTGAGCTCACCAATAAATGGCAGGGTGGTTGACACTGGCAGGAAGCCAGTAACGACGACTAGCGACACCACCATGGACAGCAGCACGGTGACGCCGAATCCAATCCTGTCGCCTTTATCAATGGGCATGATGAAGGTGATGATCATGAGGATGATCAGGATGAGACAGGGAGAGATGGTTGTGGAGTAGTGATAGGTGGGATCACGTTTGAGCCTCATGGTCAGACAGGCCGTGTTGTTGACAGCTGAAAGGATTGTTGTCCCACTCCACTCTCCTGTGACAATTGGGGCCTCGTTGTTTTGACAGGTCAGGAAGCTGCTGTCCTTGTGCGTAGTTGAATTGGAACAGTCTCGAAAAGAAAATGTCGAAAGATTTGTCATATATGCATTAATTGGCGAATTCATGGTTGTAAAAATTCTTCAAATGAGCCTTTATTAATTTTATGTGTGTATTATGTTTGTCATCTTAATGTTGTTTTAAGGTAAAAGTTGGGATAAATGGGCTTTGGTGATTGTGATTGTAAGAGAGTTCAATGCCAATGGATAATAAAAACCCCATATTCTTTTCTATATTTTTCACAAGCAATTACTTTTTGGTAATGTTTGAAAGACCTTACGATAAAACTTGAAACATGTAGTTCTAATAAAATGACTCGCCTTTCTTTATGTCTCTAACCCAGTGCTTGCTTCCGATTCTTACACGTGTGTGATCGTGCATGCGTGTGTGTTTGTGTGTGAGTGTGTGATTTAGATTTTATTTGGATAAAAATGAAACTACGAATATTCTATTTATTTCTTTGTACCGGAACCCTGATGATATTGTATTTATGTTTTAGAAACAAGCTGTATTCCCTACCTATAGTATACTCCTCTCCCGCTCTCCAGCACACTGCACATGTCATATTGTCCTGAGGGAAGAGGAAAGGGTCCAGGGTACAGGTTGTTGTAGTCAGTGCTTCTACAGGCCAGCTGATTTTCCCAGTGTTTTCCATTTTCACCTCTGTCGTGGGGAATCCGCCGCTGTATCCTGTGTCCGCACTGAGAGAAAATATATTATATTTAAGATGGATTGACGATACGTTGTTAAAACTAAGCATAATCTGACAATAATACTTATGCATATATTAGGGTAGACACTCATCTGTTTAAATGTAGAAATTCAAATTTGAGTCTGTAAATTTAAGAATTAAAACAAAAACTTTTAAACTTTGATTTATGTTACTGTAGGTCAATTGAATTATTTCACATAACATAAGAAACACGCTTTAACGAGAACAAATATCACAATTGGAATATACCAAAAGAATTGCCAACTGTACCAGTCTCTACTATGATATTGCGGTAACATGGAAAATGCAACATATTAACGATGCTTCGTCTTGAGGGAAACAGAGAGAGAGAGAGAGAGAGAGAGATTGGGAATAATCATAAAAAAATTTATAAGAATATTTACTTTCTTTCCAGTGTCAATGTCGGCTTCCAGATTTGGTCATCAAGGATGAAGATCCGATCGACCTTTCCATATTCATTGGGCTCCCATTCCAGTCGATCGTCTTTCCATGTCTGTAACATTGTAACACACAAGTACAATAATTTAAGATGATGTTTGAAATAATTTTACAATGATGTTTGAAAACTCATGTCAAGAGCTAAAAAAGGACCATTTGAGATAAGTAAAAGCAAATAAAAATATATAAGACACAAGGAATAAAAATTACAATAACTAAATCGACTGGGTTCGCCTCTGTTTTGATGACACAGAATAACAAAGATCCCACTTTTTCTGTAATGTGTGGGTTTTCGGGTGTTAACATAAGAGTATTTTTTATTTGTATATTGATTTGAACTTTAAAAAAGAATTTGGCAAAAGAGTTCATTTCTATCATTGCCATAGAGAGTACAATTAAAGATAAAACGTGTATCGTCTTTTACTAAAACAATGAACAGCAATGTGTCTATTTGTGTTTTACAGGCTTTTGGCCATTAGACCAGCCCCGAGGAATTGATTTCTAAACAATGGCACCTTATTTGTATTTGTAGAAAAATCGGTGAACAGTTATATACATCTAAAAGTATTCTTACAATCTGCCCCCCCCCCCCCGGTAACTGTTAAACTGTTGCACAAATGTAAAAACAAGGGTGAATGTGTATGTGTACTATATAAAAGTTTTCTTTGTTGTCTTTATAACTTTTGAGGCTGGAAAGCCAATGATAATAATGCGTAGCAATATTTTAATGTGGGTGATAGCCTCTCTCTCTCTCTCTGTCTATCTCTCTATAGCAAATAGTATGTGACTCCGTATATAGTAAGTGAAGAATAAACTTACGTATTCCGCTTTAAATGCTGTTACTATCTGTTCTCCCTTTTCATCCTAAAAAAGTTACAAATATAAAATAGACGTTACTATTTATAATGTCAGCGATGAAAATCTTATATATTGGCAAAGACAAAAGCTAGCAATGAATATTATAATTACTTACTAATCTAAACATGATAGTAAATGTAAATAACTAACAATAGTTGAATTTACTATTTAAACACAAGTTTTGCTTCTTAACGTCACGTCACAACTATGAGACGAAACCAATAGGAAATTTCACCACTTACCAAGTTGATGACGTTGACAACATATGCCTTTATTTGTAGACTAGTTGTTGGAGACGCCGCCTTGTTATAGACATTTGCGCTCAGAAGGTCCTGTTGGAGTTTGAACTTTTGGTCGACTTGAAAGAATAATCAACATGTTGGAGTTAGAGTTCATTTCCTGGTAAATTACGAAAACCTTTTGTTTCTCACAAATACATTATGATTCTACGGATTCTAGATGTTCGTAGTTGCATTGGGGATGTATATTGTCAAATAATGCATAGATAATTACATTGTTGCAATGTTGTCACAAGTGTACCTCTACTTGATTTGATTGGTAAGTATTTTATTTAGCATTGAAAAAAAAAACAGGTTGGCGAAACTGAATGGGTTATATTATAAGTAAATATAATATATATAATATATAGTATATATATATAATATAAAACAAAAAATGAGTAATGGGGAAAATGCAAACAGATATTAAAGGGTAGTATTAAAGAAAGTTTTTCTGTAAATAATTTCATCAGGTTGGTAAACGACTGAATAGCAAAGTTCTTTCTATCACAACTATTTATTTTTCAAGCCGACGTTTCGATGACCGTCTGTCATCTTCATCAGGGCAATTCTGACTGGTTTACTGTGCACTGACACTATATGTTACTTGGTGCGTAGTGCACTAAAGGTGTTACATGTATCCGTTGGATTAAGGAGTATGTATGGATTAGAAAATCCAATCAAGTCATGAACTGTGATGAGGGAAGGTATAAACTTAGTCATGTTTGGGATCACATTCTTAATAACTGACATTGGTCTTCTTATTGTTTGTAACTATTATGATTCAGATACAGATGTAACAAGACGTTTGATAATTTCTATTTGGGACTGTGATTGCTCAGTATTGTCAGTTAACAAATATTATATTATATATAGAAACACTTAACATTTGGAACCGCATATTTCCCTATGATGTAACAATGCCTAGTATGTATGTCACAATTACACTACGTTCCGGAATGTAATGTAAACAGAAAAAAAAACTAGGCTTAAGTTCACTATGAATTATGTAACACCTTAGTGCACTATGCACCAAGTAACACCTAGTGTCAGTGCACAGTAAACCAGTCAGTATTGCCCTGATGAAGATGACAGAAGGTCATCGAAACGTCGGCTTGAAAAAAAATGGTTGTGATAGAAAGAACTTTGCTATTAAGAATGTTTTTTATTTGACTACCTTCACAGTCTGGTTTTGCCGTATCCCAGTTGGCTTCTCCTGTATCGTTATTGTATACACATTGAGCCTTGTTTGGTCTTTCCGGGACGTATTTCTTGAACTTGAATCCACTATCACAGGTGTACGTGATCCGATCTCCTTGCCAGTAGTACTTCAGGATGGGACTCCTCTTTCCAAACCGGGGTTTTCCGGGATCCTGGCACCCTACCCCTAAACGAAAGAGAGAAAAGCTGTTATGTAACCTGTGTTCAGTATCTTTAACCCTCAAACACCCGAACGGGGTCCATTTGGACCCCAGGCGTATATTTTTATGTGATATTTGACATTTTTGGATTCGAAAAAAAATCCTCTTGTGACTTTGTCAATAAACCTCTTCTACAAGTTTTCCTATTTTTTTTTTAGATCGGCACAAACTTGTAAAAATAACAACGGAAGTCTTATGTAAGACCGTCTGGGGTCCAAACGGACCCTAGACATATTTGCACTTTCCCACACACGAAATTGTTCGGATGTCCTTAATATGTCTTCAAGGAAGCATTATTGCTTTAATATTATGCAATTTGCCAAGTAACCTCAACCTCAGGAATTAGGCCATCAGGTTTTCAGAGGTTTGACAATTTGACAATCATATGAGGTCAAAGGTCAACCCCATGTTCATGCCTGCAGGCCTCATCCTATTTTTGCATAAATTATGATAATGAGCTGGAATTAATCATGGAATTAATCATGCCAAAATATACCTCTTGCTATGTTTAACCAAAATATGTGCAAAGATCACTGAAAGAATGTGCAAAAAGGAATATAAATTCGAAAGAAACCAAATGGGGTCCATTTGGACTCCGTTCGGTCATTTCAGTCGCAGAAAAAAGTTCGGGTGTTTGAGGGTTAAGTTAGCTATGGTGTCCTTCTTTAAGTTATGTTAACTACGCAAGTATATACACTGTGTGCGTAGTCAATTTGGCTTAGAGGTATAGAACCTTTGCCTTTACATGGATGCCAACGAAATGGCCTCAGTCCCTAGGATGGCGCATTGAGCACTATGCATGATCCACTGCTTAATGTAAATATCGTAAAAACGAGCAACGGAAATGTCAGCGGAACAGTAAATCTGCCTTCTCTGAAACTGCCGATAAAATTATATCTTAACTGTTCATTGAGATAAACCTTTTTGATATTACTATTAATTTTTTTGATATTAACTTTTTTGACATTACTATTGATTTTTATTTATAATCTGCCTTCTCTGAAACTGCCGATAAAATAATATCTCAACTGTTCATTGAGATAAACTTTTTGATATTACTATTAATTTTTATTGACTGTTGAATGAAGCAAGGCCGCATTTTTATATAATACAATAGACATGATTAATAACATAGATGTTTCTTATATACTTGGACATCTTGCCAGTTTATAAAGTACTAATCATCATTAATTTAAATGATGGCAAACCAACGTTCTCTTAACCGGGACGTGAGGAGATACGTATCTGTATCGGTATAGCCGGTATAACCGCCCTTCGGCGTAACACGCCAGCTTCGCAGGCACGCGGCGCGGCGGCAGCTAGCTATATCACACCGAACGACTTGTTACACTTAATCTTTGCACATTTGATTGCAGGAGTTGTTTAAAGCTTTATTTCTAGTGATGATGCCCCAACTGTGCTTGGTGGCAACGAGTTCCAGTCTACGATAGTTCTGGGGAAATATGAGTTTTTGAATACCTCAATTCTTGGTTGATAACTCTGATATTTGAAGGCATAATATAACTGTTACTTGTTCTTTTCTGGGCTGGTATCAGATACTTAGTGGTTGGTACGTCCACCAGTTTATTAGTCATTTTGTACATAATGCACAGTCTGGACATTCTACGTCTGTCTTTCAGCGACACCCACTGTAGGTTTCTTTTCATTTCCGTTACACTAGCACCCCTTTGATAGTTGTTCGTGCAGAATATCTTGCAGCTTGGTTCTGAATGCTTTCCAGTCTGTATCTGTATACTTGGGGCGGTATACGAACTTCCAACTAACTTTGACCCAATGCTGACGTCACACGTGGAAAAATGACATATCTACAACACTTTGGTTAGAAAGCTTATAAAGACCAGCTGATTCGGTTAAAAACAGTTTGATCTTTACTATATGAAATTATTTATAACTAGAGAAGTAACATTTGCAAAGCAAATGCATAATGTTTACCTACGGACATGGTCTGCCCTGTTAATTTTTACTCAAACGCATTCACATACATGTACTACGAGTAGAGCAGACCATGAAATTGCAACATTATGTAACCCAACACCAGTCACCATGGTGGCAGACGTCAACAAATCATGCCATCGGCCAGTACAGAGGTTAGTGTTTGGAACAGAAGAGGAGGAGGAAGAAACTGAGTAAAACAATATGTTTTCCTTCGGTAAACACAATTACTTACCGTCACAAGGAATGAGGTCGCAGTATTGAAATCCAGATGAAGTGAAGCACCATGGACCTCTCCAGTCACCGTCTGGGTTACGACATTTGTTATCCACGAGGTTTGCCCAGGGGTATGGCTCTATGAAGGTTGGGTCATCTTCCCACCGTTCACAGGTTACCCCTGCTACAGGACCCTTTGTCTCGTCTCCTCTGTAGTTTACACCATTTCCATCATAACACTCAGCTGAAAATGAGTTGAAAATAATTTAACAGACTGTTAGAACATGTAGGATGTTGGGATTTTCTTATAATCAACTCGTACTTCTCTCACATTGTCTATTATAAATCACACACCAGGGCTCTGAATTCATTTTTGGGAATAGGTGCACCGGTGCACCTAACCTAAAAAATTAGGTGCACACATTTTTGGGGGTGCACTATATCAAAGAAAACATAATTAGAGATCTTACTGTTTCTCTTCTTAGCTTTAATCCAAAATGGTAAGTAACTTCAAAATCTTAAGCAAGTACTACAAGAAAGATTTTATTACTTTTTTGCCAAGAATATCCTGTATACTATTATACATTTCCAAATGTAACCGTCAACTAGTGAAAAAAATGGTTGTGATAAAAATGACTTTGCTATTCAGTTATTGTACATTTGATATATAAAAAATTGCCTACAAAAATATTTAGGCGCACCTACGAAAAAAATATGTGTGCACAGCTCCAACTTTGAGTGCACTACGGTGCACATGTACCCAGCCCTACACACCTTCCTTAGACTTTCTGACCGGAATTTTTTCTTGCTACTATGTTATGGAGCCAAATTAGTTGGTGCTTTTAAGACAAGAACACAGAATTGAATTATTTTAAACAATCTAAATTGGTGCATTTGACTATATATGCATCGAGAGGTAGTAATCTGATTAAAATAACTGAACTTTCGAAACGTAAGCAAGTATAGAAATGTACTTCTTGTGTATAAGAAAATATCACTATTCGACTTTTTTGTTACCATTTTGGTATTGTCCTAATCATTTTTAAACTGATTATACTACTTTAACCCTATCTAGACCGGGCTTTTTGAGCAAGATTTGACCGGGGGGGGGGGGCTCTTTTGACCCCCCCTCAGAACTCGCTAACGGTATGTCGTATGACTACCAAATTTTCAGAGAATGGTGTACTAGTGAAAATTTATCATATCTACAATTTTTTTGTCATTATGACGTAATATGACGTCATTATGACGTCATTAATGTGATTTTATTGGCTAAAACCGTCTAGATAGGCTATTCCCTGAAAACTAAATGGTATACAACATAACTTTACCAAAAGTGTTTATGACAGAATATTATGGTGTACTAAGTCTTATGTTGCCCATAGCAACACCGTTGACGTCATAAAATAACGTCATACATATTTAAGATATCCGCCATCTTGGATCATCAATGTTGAATTTTCAAAAATAGTTTTTTTTCGTGATGAAGCCTAAAATACATTGTAAACATACTAAAGACCTTTATTTAAACCTTTTTTGGAAAAAGAAATGTAAGCATTGATGAAATTGTAAGGAAAATAACCTGTATATACCTGTTCTAATGATATGGTCCGCCATCTTGGATTTTGGCCAATGACGTCATCAAATTAGCATATTTAATGATAAAACTTACATAAATTCATATGGGATGTTATTAATATTAGAAACCATGAGTAACTTGACATAAAACCCATAAAATTCTAATGTTGAAACAAAAATTACTAAATTTAGCAAAAAATGCCTGTCAGAAACCCGTTGCCATGGCAACGCAAAAAATCATTTTCTTATTTCAATGACAGAAAATTGTTGCCAACAATATTTTAGGAAAAGTCACCAAGTTTGGTCGTTCTAGCCTCAGCCGTTCAGACGCTATGTGACATCAAAGTTGGCGCGGGCACTTTTAGCCCCCCCCCCGGTCTAGATAGGGTTAAATAAATCGACTTACCACCGCTCGCAGTCGTAGAAGGATTGACGTTGTTACAGTTGGTGTAGGGGAAAATCACACAATTTGGAAAAGCTGACCAGGAGTCTTCCTCATCACACGAGTACTTCACTTCTTCACACCAAGAGCGGCACGGTAGTTGTTGTCGATTTGGACTAGAAAATACCAGTAAAAGGGTAATGTTGAGCGTTTCTAGTTAACACCACAGGTAGGTAGATGACGGCAAGGCAGCCGGTTAATAGGTGTTTGGAGTGTATTGAATTGGGTATGCTAGGCCACATTTCCAAACCGGCGCCCAGGCAGGCTCTTTGCATGAAGAATGCATACAAACAATTAAAAATACTTATGGACAGGTAGTTTTTTTTTCACATTCTTTGCCAATTGTTTCTTTTATATTATATTTTTGGTTCAGGGAAGTTGCCAAGCCGGGCCCCGAAGATTAGGACCTTAGCAATACTAGAGAATCTGAAAAAGGTAAGTGTAGTAACAACATGCCAATGGTCATGGATTTAGTACAGAGCTAAAGAAGATTGTACCTCTCGTTGCAACGCGGCAGAATAGTGGCGCAGACGAGGTCTTTAACTTTGGGGTGGCAGCCTGATTCTGCAAGGGCGCTGAGATCATTGAACGCTGCTGAGCTTTCAACTTGGTCGACCGTGGTGTCGTTGAAGTTGAGTGGGTTGGGAAGGGTCATCATGTTATACTCAAGGCCCCTACACAACGTCAATTGTATATCTTGACAACCTGGAAAATAAATTTAACGTTGCTAATTTGACTTACCAAATATAAAGCATTGGAAAAAAACTGGCAATGAAAAAAAAAAAACATAACATTGTCATGGCGACTGTTATAGCTGTTAGGGTTATTGTTTGCATGGCAATGCCATGAATTTATATTCTTTAGGAAGCCTTGTACCCTACCCTACCCCGAGTGTATAGTGAACGAGCCCCAGGGTCACAGAAAGTGCATGTAGGACATCCGGCAGAAAGGTTCTCCCAAGGGTTTCCAGGAATGTGAGCATGTCAACAAACAGAGCTGGGAGACATTCCTGTGGACATTCCATGCCTGTGTAAAAAATCCTGTACTACATGTATTCCTATTAGGCTCCTCCCTGAGACGTCGCCAAAAATATTCTCATGACTATTACTTTGATGCTTAAATGGTTAAGCATTAAGAGTACGAAACTTTACTCACCACAATTGCTTTGAGCCTCATCACTCCCGTCTCTACAGTCGTTGTTTCCGTCACACCGTTTCCAGGCGTCTATACAGGTCACACCGTCAGCACACCGGTACTTGCCGACCTCACACTCAGAAAACACTGAATTTGAAGAAAAAAAATCAACAATAATTAACGTCCTGATTTAATCCATTATAATATAATACGCATTTTACCTCCACGAGAAATTGATGTATGGTTTTCGGTACACCCACGTGTGCGTGTCAGTGAGTGTGTGTGTGTATTACTATGTGTGTGTGTGTGTGTGTGTGTGTGTGTGTGTGTGTGTTGTGTGTGTTGTGTTGTTTTTGCCTGTCTCTCTCTGTGTATGTGTGTGCGTGTGTGTGTTTGTGTTTTTTCTGTGTGTGTGTGTGTGTGTGTTCTCTGTGTGTGTGTGTTTCTGTGTGTGTGTGTGTGTGTGTGTGTGTGTCCGCATTGCCCTTAGGTCGGGATGTAATAGATTTTGTCTGGTTTAGACTATCCCGGAGGGAGGATATTATTTAAGACGTCTGCATATGGTAGGGATAACTTTTTATAGGCGTTTTTCGTTACATGACCTCCTTAACAGCTAGTGCTGTTTCCATTACATGGTAAAGAGGGACTTGTAGACAACATGGTGAAGGGAAAATATCATTAACAACTAAGACATAAATAATCGTTGCAGGTCTGTAGTATGAGTATATCAATATTGCAAAATTGAGCCATTGGGTTTAGAAAATTGATATACAAGACAATATCTTTTTTTGCCAATTCATAAATGTTTTCTACGAACTAAACACGACTTTCCTCACTTCACTCAGGTGAAAATGAGTACCTAGCTTCGGTTAGGGACGTCCCTCGGATAGGACGTTAAATGGAGGTCCCGTGTTTGGGAGAGCCACACCCCATGCACGTTAAAGAACCCACCGCACTTATCGAAAAGAGTAGGGGATCTTCCCGGTGTGAGTGGTTCAAAACTTACAGTCCGGTCTTACGCAGCTTGTACATGTGCGCACATGTACAAAACTGGTGTGTTACGCCTGAAGGCGGTTTACCGGTTATGCGAAACAAACAAACAAACAAACAAACAAAACAAAGTAACTACTTTTTATTGTAGAACTTTTAACGCAACAATATTATATATACTGAGCAAGTTGGTTTGTAGTACCTTTATCTCCAGACGTATAGTCGGCCTGAAACCCCTTCCTGGTTTCACTGCTATCGGTGAAAAGTCGAACAGTCATAATACTCCCAGTGGAAGTCAAAGGGTTGGGGGTAGTTGTGCCAGAAAGTTTAGCTGTAGGGTAGAAAATGGTTAGATAGTGGTTCAACTCTGATAGACAGGCACATCATGAGGTATAATTCGACTTTGAATTGAAACACATTTTTCCTCTTAACATGCTAACCTCTTGTTATTGTAGTTGTTACCTACTCCAAGGATGCAATAACTTTGTAAAGTAGACCACGTTTTCAGACAGAAGTGTGTATTTTATCATTGGGAAAAGACCAAGGCCGTAAGAAATACAGAATCTTTGCACACCAACTCTTTCTAGTAAACCTAATTCAATGGCCTGTCACACATTCAGAACAATTTCCCGAACACCAGCCAAACAAGTTTGGCAGAGGATCGGGACTAGTCTTAGGCCATGCCTATACTTCTTCACCAATAGAATATGAGTTAGATATGAGTATATTTCACTGCCAACCATGCCCTGACCTACTACCAAACAACACCTAACCATTGCTTGGCAAAACATAGCCGATTTTTTATCAAACATGCCGTAGGCGAACATTAGCAAACCTGGCCGAGCACAAGCCGACCCAGCGCCGACCTTGCTCCCAATCTACTCTCAACTATGGCTTGAGGGGGAGGGGGTGCCATATTCGGCAGGGTGACAGGGGCTTCGGTCATTATCCTTGGAGAGGAGGAGTTTACGATAGGAGGAGTAACACTTTTGCTTGCTGGAGGTTTATCTCATGTTTAAGTACAATATTATGATACAGTTTGATTTGCTGGATACATTTTGATAAAAGACGCATTTAAAAAAGAACACACATTATAATCGCCTAATTGCTAAATAATTCCACTTTTTTTTCTCTTACCTATCTCAAATGCGGAGTCTGTTGTATTTCCATCATACACGTACACGAAGTCATAGCCGTTCTCTACGTCAAAATCCGTGAAGGTTAACGTGATGACTTTTGGTGGAGTGACAGAGATCTCGTATCGGCAGTCGTTGTCGTTAGGGTAGTCGTTTGGGTAGTTTGGGCTGCTGATGGACCCACTGTCAGCAGTTAGGTGTTCACAAACTGATGAGAAAGAAGAAAAATTAATGATTATACATGTCAAATGACATTGAGGTTTATTGAGGAGGTTTATTGAGGAAAAACTCTTCTTTAGCTGCAGCTATTCTTCCAGGAGAGAGTACATACATGTAAGACATAACAATACATCATGTATAATTACATATACATTTACATTACATTGAAATTTAAAACAGAACAAATGGGTAACAACGTATTTTCTTTAAATATTCATGTCCCTCGTGTGCGTTAGCAGGCCTTGTTTGAACTTCTCATGTGATGACACTGTTTGCAACCCATGATATTTCTAACATTTACCATGAGTACGCACTTTACTGCGCCAAACAAAACCATACATTAAAATTAAAGGTCACCCGTATTTTAAATGGTGAGGATAAATCATTTAAGATATAAAAAGTCATTCTAGTTGCATGTATCCATGTAAGGTAAATGATATATACGTCTTTGATTTCTGAATGCTCTAAATACCAATTTTGACAATAAATGTAATTTGTAATTCAAGTATGAAACTTATCAACAGTACACATAGAACTGCAAACAAAGAAATTTCAATCTAGCATAGGCATAGTTCACAACGGTTACTTACGTGTTTGGGAGGACACGCCTTTAAAAAGTAGGCAGGAACTGACCACGCCAAACCACACAAGTTTCCACATTATGTGTCCTGGTTGTAGATGGTAGAAATAACCAGATGTTATTTTAGTACTCTAAACCAACACATTCACCAAGCGACTTTGTATAGTATACATTGTATGTATAGTTTTAATCAAATTTATGTTGTTATGTTCAAACCATTATCGTTGTGGCCCAGTAAGTGCATATCTTTGCCCTTTCCTGCCAATGTGTGTTTGGACTTCTGTATCTGTATCTGTATCTGTATAGCCGGTATAACCGACTTTCGGCGTAACACACCAGCTAACACACCTCTGAGAAAGTTAAAGAGGAAATAAAAGGATGTTTAGTACATTTTTCTTTAACTTTAACTTTAAAAAATGGATACGTCCGAAACAGTTTAAAACACTTCTGTAAAAATTACACTACATATAGTGACTTCTGTTATATCAATCTGACACTCTCTACACGCGATGCAGTAACTCATACTAGTATATACTACTTGTATTACTTTACATACTTGCATATACTACTAGTATTACCTTACATACTTGCATATACTACTAGTATTACCTTACATACTTGCATATACTACTAGTATTACCTTACATACTTACACGTTGCATATACTACTAGTATTACCTTACAATTCTTTATACAACTGATTATACAACTGATTATACAGTTACCCTCACCCCTGGGTCGTCGCCAAAATAACAACTAGCTTGCGTGTAGATACGTGGTACATTGTTTATTGTGTTAAAAACCGGAAAAACTAGTCAAAATGATCAGTTTGCCCTCCGAGGTCGTCCCTTATCACTTACAGAGAGATAAAGTGACTCTGGAGGTCACACGTGAGGTCTTCGTAAAGCTTATAACAAACACAAAGAATTTGCCTCCTAGGGACGTAATGCCACAGCAAGTAATTTTTATGGATGACATCAGCTCGCGCGTTAATTTTTGCCAGATTTGAAAAAGAAAAGAAATTTTGTTGCCTTCTGAAAGTGGTCAACATGCTAAACATGGGCAAAGATGTCTGTTGCCATGCCGGAGGTGGATAGCAGATAACTATAAAGAAAGGAAACAAGAAAAGGCTCTGATTTAAAGTTTTGTTTCTTACTTTGATGCAGTGATATGTGATGCTGGCTGTGTATATGTGTATATGTGATATCCCCGCTGAATCAAAAGCATTTGTACAATGATCGAGTCAAAATTTAAAAAAAAAATGTAGGAACCCTGTTTTTTTCGGCCCGCCTT